TATAACATAACTTTTATGAGTGCAGTGTTTTTAATGGAATATGTGGTGGGCCAATTAAAGAGAAAAAAATATGTAGTGGACCCACGGGCCAGACTTAGGACTGCCTTGATTTATAATATGGTTCTGTATTATGTCGGCCTCTGAAGGGAGGTGGGGAGGGGGACGTCCCCCCGCAAAAAAAAAAAAGAGGTAAGAAAACAAAACCCTCTTTCTTTCGGCTCAACATTGACGCAGGTGGAATCGATTCCTATTTGGCTGCCCTCACGCTCTGCAAGCGTGCACTTATTCAATTTTGCTAATGTGTGCGCGCAGCTGGGAAAGGCATTGAGGATGAAAAACAGTTATGTTATGTCATGCGTACATTTGAACCCTCCAGTGTTACCAGTCAGTGAATTTCATAAGGTAAACGCATGAATCTCAACTGTAGGGTGCCTAGCCAAAACCTACTAATGGATCTAACTGTGATACTTAAATCTAAAATTACCAGAACAAAAAAAAAACATATGTGATGTGATATGAATGAGATATCAGCCATTGTGACTGCTGTTAAATGTGAATGCTGGAGACCATTAAATACGATGTGAATATGAGACATTATAGTTATACATACATGACAATAAAATGATGCAAATATCGTATCTTGGATCATTAAATATAAGAAGGCCATAAAATATGATGTCAAACATCATAAATTAGATGGCTAGAGGCCTTTAGACCAGTGTTTTTCAAACCCTGTGCCGCGGCACACTAGTGCTATTGGTGGTCCGATCCTCAGCTACAGAAGCTAGCTCTTCTAGGGACATGGAATGTCACCTCTCTTGCAATGACAGTGAGACCTGGAAGTGCATGTTTGGGAGGAACGGCCCCCCGCTGAACAGAACTTAAGTGGTGTTTTGTTTTTGGAGTTCTGTGCTGGTCACAGATTGTCCATAATCAACACCATGTTCAAACATAAGGGTGTCTGTCTATAGGTGGACTTGGCACCAGGACACACTTGGCCACAGTTCGATGATTGACTTTGTAGTTGTATCTTCGGATTTGCAGCCGCATGTTTTGGACACCCGGGTGGAGCTGTCAACTGATTACCACCTGGTGGTGAGTTGGGTCCGATGATGGGGGAAGATGCCAGTCTGATCTGCCACATCCAAATGTATTGTCAGGGATTTTTGGGAGCGTCCAAACTGAATTTTGTTTAAAACGTTTCTTTACTTGTCACATCTACGCAGTGTGGAAAAGCAAAATTGTCCCCAAACTCGCGCTTTCATTTCAATCCCGCAGAGAAAAACTACTCTGAGACCACCAAGAACTCCAAAAGCGTCTCGTTATCCTTCGACATCTCAGAGATTCGGGGCAACGTGGGTGACTATCGGCTGTTGACCTCCGCCGAGTTGCGGATACTCATCAAGCAGCCCACCATACCCACCGAGGAGCGCGTCGAGCTCTACCGCGGCACGGGCCCGACAGCCCGATACCTGGCGTCCCGCTTCATCACCAACCAGTGGAATAACAAGTGGCTCTCGTTTGATGTAACGGAGACCTTACAGGACTGGCTCCAAGGCAAAGGTGAGTCTGAGACATCACACCATCGGATCAAAGCCAAAACTTCAACTTGGTATTCACACTCAACTTGACTTAGATTTGAAACACTTGACTTGAAGTCTTTCCAGTTTACAGGTGAAAATCAGCATTTTATACATGTGCATGGCGCACATGTATAAAATGTGGTGTGTGTTTTGTCCACGGCAAAAACACTAACAGAGAACGCTGCTGTAAGAGCCTGGACTCTCCCATACTCATAGGGAGGCCTAACGATTGAAATGCAGATTTTGTTGTTGTCAAAGCTTTCAAGGGTGGCTGCATTTTTTGGCATTTTATGATCAGTGAGAATACATTATATTAGTATACACTTTGAGACAATAATTCATGCCTTTGTCACATCCCGGCTCGA